TACGAGCCTTCTCGACATCGCTAGCTTCTTGGAGACAGCTGATTCTCAAATGAAGCCGAGGTCTTGGTTCCAGCTCCAATACACTCCCGACTTCGTCAAGCTTGGGTCACCCACCACCTTCAACAGATAAATAGATTATAGATAGGTTGAGTACATAGCAAGCAAAAGAACCTGAAAGAAAGGTTTCTTGCGTCACATACAAAATTAGGTCTTAATTAATTGTCTTACCTGAGCAAGTCTTTTCCCAGCCTCTGTCTCGGAGACGTAACCTTTTGTGATGTACTTCTGGAAAGGAGGGAAGAGGGTACGGAAGAGAGGTATATGTTCTCTGAACAAACCAGTTGTCGCGATACAACCGGGGTACAGGGAAGCAAAAGTTATGCCGGTGTCTTCATGGAAACGCCTATGATACTCTTGCATTGTCAACATGTTGCAGACTTTGCTATCTTTATACGCCTTTGCCCCAACGAAATCTCCTCCATCTATCATCGCCGAGCTGTTTAGCCCGTTCAACCCACCTGCTAATCCCCTCAAATCACCAAGATTCGCCTTCGGAGGTACATTACCCGCCAATGTATTAGTATTTCCTGCTCAATAGGAAACAAACGTATAAGATTTCAGAATTAGATTTTAGAATATGTAGTAGATACATAATGCATTCTTCTTGTGAGGAGGGTATATATACCGGTTATGGATCCAACAATGATGAGACGTTTTGATGGATAATCGGAGTTCTTTAAGTCATCAATCAACAATCTTGAAAGAAGAAAGTGGCCCAAATGGTTTATCCCAACGCTAAGCTCAAACCCTTCAGCAGTGAAAGTAGGTTGATTAGCTGTTGGCTGATAAACCGCAGCATTGCAGACCAACACATCGAGAGGCATCTCGGCTCGCCTGAAGTTATCAACGAACTGCCTCACGCTGTCCAAAGACGCTAAGTCCAAATGCATCACAGTGTAGCTGTCCTTAGGCATGCCAGCGGATTGAGCGGCTCTCTCAGCCTTGAGGAAGTCTCTGCACGCCATTATCACGTGCCATTTACCTGTCTCGGCTAATGCCTTTGCCGTTGCTAACCCTAACCCTGAAGAAGCTCCCGTGACAACCACGTTTCCTTTTCTAAGGGTTTTCTTGCGGTCTAAGGACGATTTTGTGACCGATGGTGTTGAAGTCGCGATTGCTTGAGCTCGAATAATTGCTTTATTATTCCTCAAGCTTTGTTCCCTCTGCAGAGTAGAAGCAATCTTAATTAGTCTTATCATCATTTTCCAAGAAAATACTTACAAACTTGGAACTAAGATTGTGTTATGTACCTTGCATCTCAATGAAGAAGAGACAAAGTCAGCTTTGCTATGCTCCGAGAGTGAAACACCAAACAGACTCGACTCTTTGGATGATGATGATGAAGCATTTAATTT